TGGCCGATGTAGAATGTAAGCAATTTTTTTTGAATAAATTATTTATTTTCTGGATGATTCCCTGTAAAATTAAAATTGGTACCCATTTTTTCATATTTTTCCAATATCACACAGACTAAATTTAGGTCGCTATATATATATGTCATAGCTTTCCAAAATCACATAGACCACATCTAGGTCGATATTTTCATATTTTTCACAACAAACTTACAAAATGAACAATTGTATTGCAAACTTGAATTGTATCACAACAAACAAACTCACAACAAACTTACAAATATATATTCTTCACAAAACATACAAAAATATTCAACTATTTATAAGTCTTTTTCCAAACTTGAATTACCAATATAAAATCCACAAGTAGATGAGTTATAGCTTCGGTAGACAACACCAAAATCACATTGCCTGACAATAAATAATAACAATTAACATCAAAAAAATATATCAAGAAACTCAATACATGTGAAAAAACTCAATACTAACAATTATGTTCAAAAACCACAACTTAGACAATTCTATAAAACTCACCAGATAAAGCTTAATTTTTATATAACTCAAAGAAACATTTTGCCCAACGGAGTCGCAAATCATACAAATCATCTTGTGTTAATTCTGTTGGGTCATCAAATACCTATAATATATAAATATAACAATATAGAGTTATTCTTTAAAAATTCATATTAAGTTGCAAAACAAAAAATAAATAACAACGTAAAGTTATTTTTATTACCTGCATTCAATTCTCTGTTATATTGGCAGAGACAATATCCAACATATTTTTCATCACATAGTACCCACAATCATTAGAGTTATGTTGTTGCCTTATCTACAATTGAATGACATAATTAGTGAATATTTATCATAAATTTAACTATAGAATTACAATTTACATCACACTTACATTGGGATGAAGTCATGTAGACTTTTTTCTATTTTCATTTGCCATTTGATGAATCCCAAAAGAACTAATACAAAACGATAAACATCACATAACTAAATTTACTCGCCAATGAAAAATCACATAACTATTAATTGCCAATGAAAGTCACATAAAAGATAAACTTACTTTTTTTCAGCATTACTTTCAGCAAACTGTAGAATTTCCATCACTCCATGTTCGTACTCGTCACTTAATCGATTAGCTCTCATCCAACTACGATCCATAACTATGTTCACACGGAGGAAGGTATGACGAAGGGTGTGCCCGCGGCTGCGCTACTTCACGGAGATTCCGAGATCACAAGTTGCGCTGCTTCGCGGAGAAAGAAAAATAGAATCAAAGTAGACAATTTCTCTAATGAAAAAGAATGACATATACACAACATGTAATATATTCTTAACTCTATACAAAATATATACTATTTATAACTAATTAGACTTAATAAACTCTCTAAGAATAATAAACTGTTTAGTAATTAAAAAAATAGATATGAACAAAGGAATGGATTCACCAAGCCATTGAGTTAGTATCTAGTATAATCTTCTAATTGATTTTATATGTACTTCCAATTATTTTATAATGTATCTCAGTAGCAAGAAAAACAACAAGAATATATTAAAACATTTTTGTATGTATATCTCTCTTAGAAATCCATAGATATACAATGAAGTTGAACAAAATAGAAAATTTCTTACCGGAATTGTAGTTCGACGGCGGAGGGGGTTTTGAAAAAGACGGAGGGGGTTTCTTACCGAAATCGTCTCGTGAACGGAGGAAAACGGCGGCGGAGGATACGGACGGTGACGGACGAAGGGCGTTCGTAGACGGACGGAGACGAAGACGGAGCGGTGGGCGGAGAGAACGGGCGGTGTTGGCAGACGGGGTTGGCAGGCGGTGGGTACAGATCTCGTTCGTGGGATACTGTTTTGAAGAAGAGTCAATAACAAAATGAATAGCAGCATGGTTTATTTCATAAATATATATTACACTTTTTACATCGGTGGATTCAAATAACCGATGTAATATATATTTCGGTTCTACTTTTTACATCGGTGGAAGTTATGGACCGATGTAATGATTGTTTTTTACATCGGTGGAAGTTAGTGACCGATGTAAGGGTTTTTTGATTTTTTACATCGGTGGAACGCAAGGCCCGATGTAAAGGTTTTTTGATTTTTTATTTACCAATCTGCCACCTAGTTTTTTACATCGGTGGATAGGAAGGCCCGATGTAAGGGTTTTCTATTTTTTTTTCTTTCAATTTGCCACCTAGTTATTTATTTACAATATTGCCACCTTGTTTTTTTATAAAACCTTTTACATCAGTTTATTACTTTGACCGATGTAATAGCCAGTGAAAAAAAAATTAATATTTTTTTATTATTGCAAATAAATACCTGATGTAAAATCTTTTTAATTTCATTTTTTACATCATATATTTTAATATCTGATGTAAAGTCCTTTTCTCAAATGTCATTTTTTTAATAGTGATAAAAGACGATATTTTGAAAAAACTTTTACATTGCTCTTTAATAAAATATCTTTTTCAAAATCGGAATATTTTAGATATTTAAAAAAAAAAAATCTATTTACTCCTTCTAGATACATTGTTGTCATCTAACCGTTTTTATAGATTTGTTTTAAAAAAAAGGATATATGATATTATGATATAATTAGAACAAAAATTAATAGGCAGTTAATAATATTAAATGATAGTTGAGAAGAATTGAGAAGAAAAGGGATACATTAAGAATAAGTCAAAAATGAATTAACTTAATGGTATTCATAGTATTAATAGGAATAAGTTAATGATACTCATAGTATTAATAGGGAGGATATTAATATTTCTGGATTGAAAGTTAAAAATCTAAACGTATCCTATAATATGATTATAAAATAGTGAAGAAAGTTTAATAACATACAAGCATACGAAAGGAGCCGACACTTAAATAATAGTCAAATTAATTCAATAATACACAATGCCAAATGACATATATTATTTTTTTAGAAAAGACAATAAATGAATAACAATATAATAATATTAATTGTTTGACCATTCAAAATTGATATAAAAAAAGTTAATAATATTTTTATGATAAAATATTATCAATTATACTAAAAAAATATTATAAATATTTTTTTGGTAAAAAAATATAGACAATAATAATATGTGAATACAAAAATTTCACTAGAATATTTTGGTTATATAAAAATTGATTCAATAAATTAAATATGATTTTTATTTAAAAAATATCATAAACTAAATGTTAAGTGTTTGTTTATAAGAGTCAAATGCATAATTTTCACTGTAATATAAGCGAATTTCGTTTTACCTCTTTAATTTATTTTTTAAATGTCCTCTATAATATATTTTTTTGAATTATCTCTCTAAACATACAATTTTAATACTAATAATAAATTAATAAAAAAATTTACAAAAAGATAATTTTTGCACTTTAAAACAAAAGACTTAATATTTTAAAAATTCAGAGAGATATTTAAAAAAAAATTAATAAAAAAAAGATAAAACGAAACTCACATATATTACAGAGAAATTATGTATTTAACTTTATTTATAATTATTGTTATTATATAGCATATAAACAATAATAAATAAATATTTTTTTAATTGAATATTAAATGTATAATAATTTGAGATTTGTAATTTTAAATCATTGTTGTTCATACTGAAAAGCGTTTATGAACAAAAAATAAAAATCCTTTTTTTTTAAATGTCATTAATCTACCATTTAAATTGTTTGGTCGGTTTATGTGTTTTTGTAATTTGTTTCATATATTTGTAGTGTTTTTATGTGGGATAATATTGAATTATAATAAATGACTTAATATTTATTTTTCGCAACTTTTTTTATTTTATAATATTAATTTCTCTGATTTTTTTTTAAATTTTATTTTTATCGCATGTGAAGGGTAATAAAGATAAAGATTGTGGCGAGACATAGGTATTTAAAGGAGATTGTGGCTTCGATTAAGAAGAATTTTGAAAAAGTTATTGTTGTTAGAGATAAATTTATGTGATGATTGAGATTGTGGATTAATCTTCCATAATTTCTTTCATTTTTTATTTATTTTTAAAAAATAATATATTTTAATATTTAATGTACACATATTTTTAATATATCCTAAACTAAATGATAAGTATCATATATAATTATTGTTACTATATAATATATAAACAATAATTAATAAATATGTTTTTAATTGAATATTAAATATATAATAATTTGAGATTTGTGATCTTAAAACAATGTTGTGTATACTGAAAAACATTTATGAACAAAAATAAAAATCCTCATTTAAAAGTTATAAATTAATGTAATTATAAGTGTAATTTGTTGGAAATGACCGTTGAGAAGAAAGGAAATACATTAAGAATAAGTTAAAAATACAGATTTTTGAAATATTGAGATTATTTAATTTATATATCGTTATATATATTTTTTAATTATCATTATATTATTTTTATTTACTATTTATAATAATATTGTATGATCCGTCGGAAACATACGGATACGACAACTTAATTTATTTAACTATATATATATTTTTCTATTAAAATATATATCTCTACCGTATTGAAATTACTTAATTTAAATATTTTTTGTATATATTTTTAATTATCATTATATTATATTTATTTACTATTTATAATAACATTGTATTATTCATGCGAACACACGTATCTTTTGCAAATTAATTTTAATAAGTATAAATAGAAGAGTGACTCTTGCTTGTTAAAAATCCTCATTTTCCAAAAAGAGATTTAGACTTCACCAACTATACAAGTAACAAAATGTTCACCACTGAAGAAAATTTCTGCCTATGATTTCACAAGTTTGAATATAAAAAAGAAAACTAAAATGAATGATAGAATGTGTCATGAGTTTTGTAAAGTCAGATACCACAAATTTAGAGGGAGAGGGATAAACCATTGAACCACATTCAAAATCACCTTTAACCCAAATGTATAAAGAAAGATATTCAGAACCACATCAAAATTACAAGGAAAATAATTGATGATTCCCACTCCCTTTTTCTATCCTTGAGTAGTAGCTTTATCTTTTTGTTGAGAAGATTCTGCATAAAATTTAAGAATGTATTTTCTTAATAATATGAGAAAAATATCAACGACATTGAAATGAAAACTAAACATCAATTAGTCTTACTTGCATATGTTGAACAATCTAAGTTGACTTCATTTGTCTTTCTAAAGATGTGAACTTGAAGAGTCATATTTGTTTTAAGAACGAGTTCAAACTTACAAACATCACCGACTTCCAAATTATTGTTCTTTGAGAATTTCATCCATCCACTTGTGACATCAAACCTTGTTTTTCCTTTGATCATCCTAATTTTGTACCGTGCAGGCCAAACTCTTTCATCATCTAACACTCGAAAATAAATGTCTCCTATCTTCTTTTCTAAGTCAAAATGTGTCCTACCAAATTTACAAGGAATTGTCTGCCGAGCAAAATAAAAGGTAAATGTTAATGGATAGAAACTTCATTGATTTCTCTTACAATTATAAACTACTCTAATTATACTTTATTCTATATCCTATCAGTAACTGTGCTATATTCTTCAAATTATCTTACAGTGTTTCTTTGCTACTTACTAAATGAAATGGGCTTTCAACCTTTGTTGTACACATGACAAGAATAAAGGATGGATTAGATGTTTTGAAATCTTTTGCGCATTCAAGTCTTGTATTCACTTGTTTTCCTGCAAAAACATGATGCACATAGTTTGCAATCATTTTTCATGTATTTACTAGACTTAGCAGTCATGAATTGAAGAGAACAAAAGCTAACAAGTTATCTTAACATGTAAAAAGAATGTTGATTATACCTTTGCTATTTTTGGCACAACTAGTGCTTCCAAATTCAAAGGAAGAGTTAGCTTTTCTCTTCTTACTTGTTCTACATTCTTTTTCAGCTTCAACTCTTTTAGGAGGGTACTCTATCTCTACTCTAGTAGTATCAAAGATGTCAACATGAAATTCGGAAAGTCTTTGATATTTAAAAACGAGAAGATGGCCATAACCTAGAGAATAATACTGTGCAAATTCCTTCCAACCTTGTCCAAACCATATTTTGCCATCATTCATCACCAAATTTATTTTCCAGTTTTCTCCATTGGAAGTCTTTAGACATATAACATTTGGTAAACCTTGTCCATGTTTCCTCACAAACTTTATTGGTAACATCTGTCAAATAAGCATAATGAGCACATAAAATGTTGTATAGGGATAATGCAAGCTTCTAACATGATAAAGAAAGAGTAGAAATGAAAGACTTACACAAGGTTTTACAAGCTCTCCTTGTTGACGATTTTCAGTAATGATCATGAAAAACTGGACTACCTTGTTTACCTCAGAATATTCAGTAGCCATGACCTTTGTTGATGAAGTGGTAGGAAGGAAGTATTGTAACCAACTGAAAATATGTTCTTAAGACCTATGCAGGCGGCAGTGGCGGAGTTTGTGATTGGTTTCTCCTAAAATTACAAGTTAATAGGTAGCTTATGTTTTAACCTAAATCTTTTCTTAAAAATAGGACATTCAAATTTAAAAATTCAAAAAATACTAACTAAAAATAAATAAAATAATAAATCTTAATCAACATAACTAATCCTAATAAATATAACTAGAGGTCTATATCATAATGTCTTGCAACAGTGGTTCATACTAGCAGAAGCATTTTAGATTAATTTGGTAGTACTCATTACCCTTTTTTTGAAATTCGAAAAACACTTCATTAACCTATATAATTATGATCCTACTATATTCTGCAAACGTGTAGTACTTTTAGTTCATTTTTCCACTCTATCCCAGGCTCAGTGTTCAATGGAAGAATAAACGGTTCAAGTGTTAATTTAGATACTAACAGATCTGTGCACCTCGAGACCTGCTACACAATATTATTATAAATGATAAATAAATATAATATTATAATGATTAAAAATATAAATTAAATAGTTTTGATATATGAGAAATATATATTTTAAAAGATAAAATAAATAAAATAATTAAATTTTCATCTATCCGTGTGTTTTTACGATTCACACGATATCATTGTAAATAGTAAATAAATATAAAATAATGATATTATATATATATATATATATATATATATATATATATATATATATATATATATATATATATATATATATATATATATAAATTAAGTAGTTTCAATATGTCAGAATCGTATATTCTAATAGAAAAAATCAATATAATAATTAAATTATCATCTACTCATGCGTTTGCACATGTCGTATAATATCGCTATAAATAATAAATAAATATAGTATATTGTTGATTAAAAATAAATATAAAAAATATATAAATTAAGTAATCTCAGTCTGCCGAAAATGTATACTTTAGTAGAAAAACAAATGAAATAATTAAATAGTCGTCTACTCGTACATACGCACGGGTCGTACAATATCATTATAAATAATAAATAAATATACTATAATGATGGTTAAATAATATTACCTCCACTTCTATTTATAAGAGACAAACTTAAAAAATTAGACAAACCAAACAAAATTTTAATTAGTTTTATCAAAAATTTATCATTGTTAAACTTTTAGTAGTATTAATGTTATAATTATACTACTAAAAATTATCATTGTTAAACTTTTAGTAGTATTAATGTTATAATTATACAGTTTAATCCAATGTTGATATAATAAAAATTGGCCAACATTTATTCTCTCTTGACAAGAATAATTATACTAAAAAAATTTAATTTTTGACTTTTCATATACTTTATTCTGAAAAATTAGATGCAAATTAAATTTTCCCCTATTTTTTCTCCACAACTTCCCACCAAATTTTGAAAACCAAAATAAACTTTCCACCAATTTTGATAATGCATTTGTCTTTTCTATATAAAGAGAATTAGTATTTCATTTTAATCATACTGAAAATTTTGCTTTCATCTTCTAGAATTAAGACCATGGAAAATAAAGATGGTGAATAATCTCTTTACAAATTGATTACAATGTGACAGGCTATATACATTGTGATTTTTTTTTATAATTTTGTTTACAATTCACTACTGACACCTTAGTATACATGGTGATACACTTAAGTCTTAATTGTTTTGATTTTTTTAATGGTGATGCACAATAATATATATGGTTATATGTATGGTAGCATATTTATACATATCGTTTTTTTCAGTTTTTTATACTATTATATATTTTGATGATTTATCGGAGACTCGGTGATAAGTGAAAGTTCTAAAAAAATGTGGTTTCCTTCGCAACAAAGATAGAAAGACTATATGTCAAATATTGATTTATTATAGTGATGCTAATAAAAATCTAATTGGATCTAGAGTAGTAAAACGGGTAGCAACATCATATAATGTTCATAGAAGTGTTATTTATCACATATGGAAACAATTAAAGGACACATGTAATGCTTGTCATAACATAACATAAAATTGTGGAAGGAAAATTATTCAATTAGATTTGGAGTTAATGAGTCGAGTTTCATTATCAAAATAGTCAACCTATCGGTCTCTCGCTTATGCTCTAAATATTCCTAAGACATCATTGGTAAGTGTAGCGGTAGAAATGTTTAAGACTAAGTCATTGGATTGACTAGACTTGTACAGATCAAAATAAAAATTGTCACCGCGATTTATTGTTTCCAAAGAAATGGGAAAATGACGAATAATCCAAAAGAGGGGGAAAAGATTCAAGGTAAGGGGGTTGGTTATACAAAGAGAATGTATTAACACCTTAAACATCTACGGTACTCCGTAGAAACCTCTTTGTAAAATATGTATATTTTGGGTATAAAAAATATTGTATAAAAATAGATGGTGGAGGTGAGAAAAGAAGTATTTTTTTTAATGATTTTTGCACCCGCCGCGGTTGCGAACCTTTAGTGCCTACGTACCACCTTCCGTGCAATAGGGATCAGGGTACACGTAGTTCACCTTAAAATTTTAAAACAAATGTGTTGGTTAATTTTATGAGATAAGACATCATCGTCATTGTCCGTGTGGAAAACATACTTATTACTCACAATCATGAGAAAGGAGAATTTGCATCATCTCAAAGTGGAGGATATGACTTGGATTTTAAAACCAACAATGTCTCACTCAACACCCAAGTGGAAAATATCTCTCTTCACAACATATTGTAGAAGTATAGTTGTTTGCATCACTACAAGGATTGACAAAAGTCTAATATTTTAATAAAAGTTTTTTAAAGAAAAAGCCAAAGTGGCAAAATAGTTTGAATGAGATTGATTGACTTTTAGTCTTCTCACAAAAATGTCAAGGTATTGTTAAGTTGATTAAAGTTTATTTACGAAAATGTTTTGAAAATACATGGACTTAAGTCCAAGTTTATTATGAAAGTGGTTCAAGTTTAGAAACAAGAAGAGTTTTCAAAATGAGGGAGAAGGTTTTTGAAATTAAATAAGATGAGATGAGATGATGCATAAGGTAAAAGCTAGAGAGAAGGACCATCTAACCAATAAGAAGCCAACACTTGACATTATGAGTCAAGAGAGAATTCTCATTCTTTAGATTGAAACCAAGAAAACAAAGATACTAGACCTCTTGAGAAGACCAAACTTCAAATGTATTAAGTCTTCACAAAAATTGGGCAGAGTAACGACTATATACAGGTGAATTCCAGATTACAGACAAAGTAAGTAATCACAATAACCTGCACACAAAACAAACAACCCAATGTCTTGAGGTAAACCCCAAGAACTCCAGACAAAATATTAATTAAGGTCACAAGGTCTCCAACATAGGCCAGGGTCTCTAATCCTAAGTCCAATAAGTCCAATACTCCATAATGCCAATGATAGTAACCAAATAGTTCAAGTATCATTAATGTTTTTTATGGTTCATGTTGATTATTAAGTATCTTCAAAAGAAAAGAAAAAGCTCAAGTGAGCAAAATAAAAATGACATAAAAGTAAATGCTCTAGTGAGCAAAATAAAAATGGCATAAAAGTAAATGCTCAGGTGAACAAAGATGAAAATAGCATGAAATGTAAATGTTAAAATAAATGGTGCATAAAGTAAAGGGCATAAGATAAAAGCATAAAATAAAGTCAATTGTTATAAGTTAATGGTTAGTTGGATAACCATCTTGAAACTTGCATTTGGAACTCATTAGAGGATTGGTAGAACTAAAGCCTCTCAACAACAAGTTGCATTTGCTTTTTGTCAAGTATATCATCCATTTAAGAATCCTCAAGACAACATTTAATGATCAATGATGTTTAAGTGATCCGCATTGACCAAAATTAATGAAGATCCATTGGAGGATTGGTAGAACCAAAGCCTCCTAATAATGAATCTCAACGTTATTGGATCAAATGGTTCAAATTAACATACTTGGGTTTGCAAACATAGGTTTGGGCCACGAATGAGCATTTTCTCAAATCGAGACAAAATTTAGCGCTATGTTAAGCAATCGTAAGTGGACTTATGTAGAAGTTGTACTTATTTTGAGGCCGGTCAATAGCAATCTATGTACTTCATGTTTGGATAAATGATATAGAGATCATCATCACATAACATGTAGCACAAATAAAAAAAGAAAGAGATAAGATGAAGAGGGAGGGGGATGATAAGCTAATTTGGATTACTACCTCAAATTTCTTACATCTTTAAATTCAATCACTCATCTAGATGGATTAAAGTACTAAACATATCATTAATCCAAAGCACCAAGAATGAATTGAATAATTCACTCTTTGGTAGATTTGAACTAATGAACATTTATCTAACTTCATCTACACCCAAAGTCCATTGAATTTAAAGAGAAATTGGACATTTAAAATTGCAATCCAAATCAACAATCAAAAGGAGTGAGTAGAAAAAGATAGATGGATCAAAACAGCCTCAAAATAAGGCAGAAAAAGCATTTTGGCATTGTTACAATCGATTGCGCTCAGACAACAATCGATTGCGCTCAGACAACAATCAATTGCATCAGTGCATTTAAAAAAAACGCAAAATTTTCTTGTGACAATCGATTGCACCCTGTTAAAATCAGAAAAAATAGCATTTCAAAAGGCCAAATTCTTGTTCAAATTTTCTATCAAACACCTTATGATCATGGATTCAATTGAGCACGAGAATTCCATCAAATTATGAGAAAAAAAGCACCAATGGAATCACAAAACAATGCTCAATGAATCACACCCAAAGATCAACAAGAGATCACATTGTGAAAGATGAAAAATCCAACTTGCCAAAGGTAGATCTAGAGAATTATCAAAACAACTTCAAGAATTTGCTTCAATTCAGCCCCAAGAATCAATTGCCCAAGCTTGGACATAGAGAATTGATGAAGAAAAAGTGTTTGGATGAAGGTTTAGCTAAAATATTAGTAAGCTTC